TATATATATATATATACATGTATATATACATATATATATTAATTATATCCGATTTACTCGCGCGCGACGACGTAACAAAATTGGTGTCCTCCCTAGGCAAAATCGACATTCCGGACGCGCTGGTGCAGTCCGTTTTGTCATCCGGGATCGCTCGGATGACGTCGTCGACAATCGGGCTAGAAACACGTCAAAATTTAAACTTCATAAAACTTCGACCTGTGGTCGTTTGCCTCGACAAGTTTACTCGAGTCTTCGACAAATAATAGTGCAAGCGATGTGAATTGTGGCGATCGGACGCGTCGACTCTCCGAATTGCGAAGTTTGTGCGCGCGAAAGTGCGAATTGTGTAAAAGGTCACGCTAAGACTTAAAGGTCCTATAGGGAATCCCTTTTAGGTTTCCTCATGTTGGTTTCATCCTTCTAAGTGTTAGAAGTCGATACCACACACGCGAAACTCCAGAAGGGGACAAAAGTGGGTTGGATTTCTAAAACGAGGCGGGTCTCATTTCTAAGGTTCTAAGATAGTTGAAGGGAGATCCCTAAGGCTAGATTCTAAACCCTAAGAGGAAAACTATACCTCACTAAAAATGAGGTCAACAATTATAGACCGCATTTTTTTTTTGTGTTCAATGCGATGATGAGGAGAAGAATCCTGCTCTTTTGGTCTCGCAAATTTATTTTTTCTCGGTTTATATCATCAGGTCTGTGGGGGTGATTGCATATGGTTGAGAATTTGCATTTACATACCCAACGATTCTTCTTTATTTTCAGATCTAACACAAAAAAAATATGTTTTTTTTTAATTTTTCTGTCGTGCATTTACCTGAGCTTAATGTTTGAGCATTAAAAATAATGGACTTGAGATTGCTTTTTCTATTAGGCTGACCAGACTTTAAGAATTTCGTTAAGTGGTGAAAAAAAAAGAGAAATTCACGAAACAGCATATTGCAGGGCTATTTGTGAACAGCTAAAATGGTTTGGTGCAAAGCAGGTGAAAAATGTTATTTCTGCTGGCGGAAATATCTGCACAGCTAGCCCTTCAGATATTAATTTACTTCGGATGGCTTCTAGAGCGAATTTCAATATTGTTGGTTTAAGAATTGGTTTATCCTTCAAATGGTTTATAGATGTATTATGAAGATTTTTCTATTTATGTTTTTTACATTTATGACATTTAACATACCACTTGTTTTCAAATGGAATTGTGTTTATATACTGAAGGGTATTACAGACATTACTCAATAAACAACACTTTCAGAACTGTTTTTCAAACAAACCAGCTGTTTTTGAAACATCAGTTTCTAAACAGCAGATTTTCAATAACAATTTTTGAACTGAGCTTTTCTGCAGCCACAACCGAAGCAAATGCACCTTAAATTAATTTACTTCGTGTTCTTTTGAAGCTAGATTCAGTAACAAAGGTTTAGGAAGATTCTTTTTTATATTCTTTTTTAGGTAAATGAACTTCTATTGATATATATTTAAGTGGGGGCCATATCTCTACTATAAGTGCGATTTCAAAAGCTGTCTAACTTTTGAATTCACCCATCGAATGTGCAATTTGACCTTTATACTAATTTTTTCTTTTTTTTTTTTGTCTGGTCGAGGCTTTTGATTTTACAATCTATACTTTATCATTCTTATATGATAGTCTTAAGTTAAAGTAATTTTATCCATTATAAAAAAATCAAACCAAATGGTATAAATTTATTATTTGATCATATTTTTCTTGACCTATTGTATTCAGGCCCTTTATATTAATTTTCAATTAATTTTTCCTTTTGTTTTTTTGGGTCTGGTTGAGGGTTTTGATTTAGAATCTATAATGTATTGTACTTCTCTGATAGTATTGATTTAAGGTTATTATTTTATCAATATAAAAAATCCAACCAAATGGTATAAATCTCTTATTTTATCATATTTTTCATGATCAATTGTATTCAGGTAACATTGTAATTTTATTCAAATCTGCTTTACTTTCAGACATAAATAAGCACTGCTCTTTTTAAAATGTACTTAAAATTTAAGAACATATTAATCGAAATAATGTTATTTTGTTTGAATTTGTATCTGATTTAGAGAGATAAAATTATAGTGTTCCTTAAGTTATATTTATTATATTTTAATTATTTTCTCTATTTTTTCTATCTGCATTAGTTAAATAAGATTGAGTTTATTTTTGTTTTATTTCGAGCGCAATGGATCTAGACGGGCCAACTTGATCGAATCTTTGAGCTAGTTTTAAAAGTAGATTGGATTAAATTGTCTTCTCATATATTTATATTTATATATATAGATATATGTAGATATATATTTATATATTATGATATAAGTGTGACTTAAGCCCCTAGTAAATTTGTATTTATCTTTGAGCCAATTTTAAAATTAGATTGGATTAAAATGTCTTCTCATGATGAATTCATTATATTTATAGGAGCTGCCTTATATGAAATGTTTAGGAAAGCAGCTCCATTTTAAAATTTTGCCTCCATATTGGTAATCTTCACACAAAGGTGAGCTTCTTTGACTTATTAAAAGCCTTAGGTAGGCATGCTGATGTTGTAGTGTAATTAGGCTTAACAATATCACGTGAATTATGTAGGTTTGCATGAACATGAAAGAAAAAAGGTTTATTTTACTTTTTCATGCTTTTTTACAGTAATTTTCGTAGTTTGTCAGCCAAAAGTGCTATTGTTGAATTTTAAAATTTATATCAGGGGACCAGTTGGCTATAGGTAAGGAAACTGGTCGACGATTGGGTATGGGAACCAATATGTATCCCTCATCAGCTTTATTGGGCAATGCCAAGGATGAGTCCATCGCTGCTTTGCCTGTTGACGAACTAATAGAAAAGGCTGATGGTTTTGCTGGGGTTTTCCCAGGTATGTTTGTCAATTCTATTCTTGTGTAAGAGTTTTTAGTGCATTTGTTACTCTTGAAAGGCTTTTTGTTGCTATTTCGGTTCGCAATCTTCACACTTATTTGGCACATTTCAGAGCATAAATATGAGATTGTTAAGCGTTTACAAGCAAAAAAGCATATATGTGGTATGACTGGAGATGGAGTTAATGATGCTCCAGCCTTGAAGAAAGCTGATATAGGAATAGCAGTGGCTGATGCGACTGATGCAGCTAGAAGTGCTTCTGACATTGTTCTAACTGAGCCTGGTCTGAGTGTTATCATCAGTGCTGTTTTAACGAGCCGTGCTATTTTTCAGAGGATGAAAAATTATACTGTGAGTCTCTTTGGCTCTTATAGAGGGATGCTTTATTTTGTTTTAATGTTCTTGATGAACTTTGTTGGTTCATATTGTTAGTGTCTGATTTGTTTTATTTGCAGATTTATGCTGTGTCGATCACTATACGTATCGTGGTATGCTTTTTTTACTGGTATTTTTCTTTTGGTAAACCAAAGAAGGGATCAAATTTGAGATAGATATAATAGTGGTTAAACTTATTTTCAATTCAAAAGCTTAAAAGCCTATTACTAAGAGCCAACTGTTTAGCATTTCTACACCAACATTTTTTTTATCTATTTGCGTGATAGTTGATACAAAATTATCTCATGTGATGGTGAGATTGTTAAGTTACTTTAGGCCTTTATTACTTAAGCTTATGCATGAGAGACTAAATCCAAAGTATCTTGTACCTTTATAGTTTCTCTATCGCATGAGAGCATTCCACTTTAGCCATTACATCACCTTTGCACACTTTTCTGCAGTGATGGAACCAAAATTTAAGGAGTAGAGTGGCAAAATTAAAAACTAAGATGGGACGAGTATTTAAGTTAGCTTTTCATCTCCTTAAAAAATTTTAAAATTAATAAAAATATTATTTAAAAGTAAAAAATTAATTAATGCTAAATTATTATTAAGTATTCAAGTTTATGGGATAAACTTTTCAGAATATTATATAGTATTAAATATTTCAGTAAAAATGTAGGTGCAGTGAGCGCTTCCCATAACCACCGCTTGGTTCTATGTTGCTTCTCAGCATTATCAAAGATTATGCACCAAGTGCCCACTCAACCCGTGGAGGGATCATAGAAGTCATTTGACCTTGAAACTTGATAAATCAAGAAACCTATAAGAACAATAATGTAAAGGGGCATTTACATACATACCACATCATTCTCATGCATTTACCCATCTAAAACTTAAGCATTTTTTTTAAGAGTGGAATACACCTTTTCATGCATATGTTTATAATATCAAGGTGTTAAAAGTGCGACTATCAAACTTTGGATGTTAGATATGTAAATACATAAGAATTTTGTGTGGTATGTATGTAAATTTCTCTAATCTAAAAGAACCACTTTTTCTGAGCTAAATTATCAGCTTCCAACTACTGATATATTTTGTTCAATTTCAATCCCGATTTGGACCTAACGATAGTGGGGGAGAGGGAGAGGGTGTTTATTTGGACCTCTTTCATCCTCCCTAACGAGAGTGGGGGAGAGGGAGAGGGTGTTTATTTGGACCTCATGGATGAACCATTCAAGCTTGCATAGTGAACTTATCCCATTGGCTACTTTAATTGTTTACTTATAGACTCAAAATTCATGTACTTTTTAAGGACGTTACATTCTTTTTGCTAACTACTAGTTGATTTGAACAGCTTGGTTTTATGCTACTTGCCCTCATTTGGAAATTTGATTTCCCCCCATTTATGGTCCTCATCATTGCAATCCTGAATGATGGTATGCTCTTTCTTTCTAGTTACATTTTCTTATCTGTGTTGCATTTTTACCTTGTGGTGATAATCTTTGTGGATAAAGCCTCTTTTTCTTATGATTGGAAGATTTACATTCATGCCTCTCAATTCTTATGTATTTACATATCCATCACAAAAACCTTAATTTTTGCATATATTCCACTTTATCTATGCATGTATTTCACTTTTTAGAAGTTAAAATAGTGGAATTTTTTATGTAATATGAAATATTTAGGTCGTAGAAATGTAAATAATCAAAGCTTAGGTGCTGTATATGTAAATGCATAGGAATTGAGTGGTATGTATGTAAATATTTTTTTCTATAATTTTGCCCTTCTGTATATTTTGCCAGGCACCATCATGACGATATCGAAGGATAGGGTGAAGCCTTCCCCTCTTCCTGACAGTTGGAAGCTTGCAGAAATTTTTACAACTGGAATTATCCTTGGAAGTTACTTGGCCATGATGACAGTCATTTTCTTCTGGGCTGCATACAAAACTGACTTCTTTCCAGTATGTTACCAATGATTCTAGCTTTTTGATTAATCAGCCTTTATATGGTTTTTATCTCTTTGAGAAAGAAAATCATTGTAGCTTAATCTACTTTTTTCCTTGGCAAATACTATCGAGAGTTAGGTGAGACAGTTCAAATTTATATCTGTTCACTGACCTTTATATGGTTTTTATCTCTTTGAGAAAGAAATCATTGTAGCTTAATCTACTTTTTTCCTTGGTACATACTATCGAGAATTAGGTGAGACAGTTCAAATTTATATCTGTTCACTGAATTATGGTTATATCCTATTTTTGTTGCTTTACATTTCATGATGATTTCGAGTAAGAAGTTATTGAAATCCTATTCCTCATATCTAACATAAAGATATCGCCTTTTCCTTCATAAAGTAAGAACTAAGGCAGCCCAAAAATGCATTAAAATTCCAGCCCTCAATAAAACAGCTCACGAGTATTGTATTTTTCTTGGGGATTCTGCTCTCCTCCTTTAACCCCCATCTTGATCATAGCGTGAAGGTTGACACGCAGTTGAGTCTGTTGGGTGATTTTTTTGCTATTAAGACTATTAAGAACAAAATGAGGCTCCACAACTTAACACCTTATAATTGCTTATTTTATTTTGTCATTGATTTTTATGGATCTAGAACGAACTAATTTTTCGTTTCATCAATCTGAGCACCATGTACTTTCACTAAAACTAGAAAATTTCACCCAAAAATCTAAATTTTTTATGAGATTTTACCGAAGCACTCTATCATTTATCAAAATTCAGCTAGAATTCTATCCTTGTGCCCCAATAAAATTTCACATTATCAACTTCAGATCTCATTTGCATCATGTATTGAATATATTTGTAAAAAAATTAATAATAAATATATAAAGCCAAAATAAAAAATGAATTCATCTAAACTAGAACTTCCACAATGTTATTGAAATAGAATTTTAAAGCCTTTATACTAACACATGCTCTAATATTTTCTATATTATAACCTTTAAGCGAATATTTCACGTCGAAAGCCTGGAGAAAACAAATCAGGATGATTTCAGAATGCTAGCATCAGCTGTCTACCTCCAAGTGAGTACAATAAGCCAGGCTCTTATATTCGTGACAAGATCCCGAAGTTGGTCATTTATCGAGAGACCTGGTCTTCTGCTCGTGGCTGCTTTCGTCATTGCCCAGCTGGTATCTTCTGTGTTTTGAGAAATGTGTCAAAATGATCCCTGATTGTTTACATTACGCCATTTTAGTCCTAGAGTCTATAAAATTATCAAATTAGTTTCCATATTCTTTCAATATTGGCTAAAATAGTCTCCTTCCAGCTCCAATTTAAAAAGTTTGGTGATTAATTTGATACTTCTTATAGATTCTGGGTCTAAAATTACCCCATGTAAACAGTCACAGGACTATTTTGTCACTTTGTTTTTTGTTTTGTGCATAAAAATTTTTTTTTCTTTACTTTTAGTTGCATTTCAGTTATTCACAACCGCCATATCTTTGTGCAAATTAGTTCCTGACTCTTTGCAGTGGGTTATTTTAGTTTGAGAGCCTAAAAGTCAATTTAGTCCCCACTCTTTTAATAATGGCTGAAAATTTCAACGGATGATTATTTCAGCCTCAGGTTAAAGACTCTGGGGACTAATGACACTTTTATAGACTCTGGGATTGAAATGATCCCATGTGAACAGTCAGAGGACCATTTTGTCATTTTACTCAGTGTTCTGCATACACAAAATTTTATTTTATTTTTTTCACTTCTATCCGCTTTTCAATCATTTATAACCCACAGTATCTACATGCAGATTGCTACTTTGATTGCTGTATATGCTAACTGGGGATTTGCTTTCATCAAAGGGATTGGTTGGGGATGGGCTGGTGTTATCTGGCTCTATAATCTCATCTTCTACTTCCCCCTCGACATTATAAAGTTCATAACCCGCTATGCATTAAGTGGAAGAGCATGGGATCTTGTTATTGAACAGAGAGTAAATATCTTCTACACTCTGACTCACAATTTTTATAAGAGGAGGCTATGTATAAAATTCTGATTCTTTGTGCTATGTATCGCTGCAGATTGCGTTCACAAGACAGAAGGATTTTGGAAAGGAGGCGAGGGAGCTCAAGTGGGCGCATGCTCAGAGAACACTCCATGGTCTTCAACCTCCAGAGACCAAAATGTTCTCCACTGATAGGAGCCGTTTCACTGATCTGAATCAAATGGCTGAAGAGGCAAGAAGACGAGCTGAGATTGCAAGGTAAGTTTGAGCTTCGTTGATTTTTCATGAGATTTTTTGGAGTAAGAGCTTTCATTAATGTTGGAGTCTGAGTTTAGCTTTTATTCTTTTTTTTAATGTTATTGTGAGTATCATAAATATTTTATTATTGTTTTAAACTTGTACAACATTTTCTTATAACTATGATCCTTTAGTAGGCCAGACTCTCAAAAGTAGCTTTATACTTAAATAGTATCGGAAGATTCATGATGGTAGAGTAATAATTTAGCGTCTCAGTGTTGGATGAAGAACCAACACATTCTGCTAATTAAAATGACAGGTAGAGACATTAGAAATTTTTATATGGAAAATCCTTGAAAGAGAAAAACAACCATAGGATGTAGCCCTGTTGAAATAAATTATTGTGTAATAATGATCACACAGACCCACTCTTCTTCCAAGTTGAGGAAGATTAGATTACAAAGTTGGTATACAATGACATTTCAACAATAATTGTCGTAACGAGCCACAAAAGCCGTAATTGATTGCTATAGCGGCAGTAGTTACTCGTGAATGTTGTAGACGGTGGTCGTAGTGCCAGCTTGTTGTATAGGCAGTATTTGAAAGCCATGGTAGTAGTTGGTTGTATGGGTTGTAGATGCTTGCTTTAGGAGCATCTGTTGGCCACAGAGGTCGTAGTAAAGAGCCGCAGGAACCATGAGTCACGTTGGTTGTAGTTGCTCATATAGGCCGTAATGGCTAGCTGCTGTAACGTCTGTAGGTCATTAGAGGTCGGAGTTGGGAGATGCAGGATTTGAGATAATATCTGTAGGTCGTAGTGGCCGGAGTTGGGAGTTGGGAGTTGCGTGAGTTGTGATAAAATAACGGTAGTGGCCGGAGTTGGGAGTTGCGTGAGTTGTGATAAAATAACGTTCTTGAACTGAAGAGATTGGAGTTGAGAGTTGTATAAGATGAGATAACGTTCGTAGGCCACAAAGACCGAAATTGGGAGCTGCATAAGTTGTGATAATGTTCGGAGGTTATAGAGGTTGGTATTGAGAGCTGTATGAGCTGAGATAACGTTCGTAGACCATAAAGGTCGAAATTGTGAGTTGCATGAGTTGAATAACGTCCGTAAACTATAGATGTCAGAATTGAGAGTCGCATGAGCTAAATGACGTCCGTAGACCTAGGGGCCTGAATTGAGGGTTGCATGAGCTGAATAATGTCCTTAAGCCAGGATTTGGTGGGAGAAGGTGCATAGTCGCACTTTATGCAGGACTCGTCGTTGCACATTTTTAGGGGTACGCGTTTCATCATCTTCGGGGCATCATGACATTGTTATGTAGGGTGCTTCGTTACTCTATTACATGGCCAGGATTCCATAGCATAGATCATGATTCCGCAATAGATTTTGTTGTAATCAGCAGGGGGCGACATACGGTGGTCGACAACGGCTACGGTTGCAGGAGAGGGTGACTCATGCTGGACCTTCAACGCGAAACACTCGACCTCAGCTACTTCAATTCTCGAGCTTCCCCCAATTCAAGGTTTGTGGCTTATTTCCTGAAGTGTTAGGGCTCTAGATATAGTATTGGAGAGACCTTCCGACAAATAAAAAAAGAATCCATATCACTCCACCAGACGTCCTAGATAGATCCCCTCAATAGGAGATCATTCCGTGAACATTTGAATGCTTCAACTATGTTGGAATTGAGTGATCTAAGGCTTGTTATATTTGTCTTATCGGGACACTTAATTTGACTATAAGCTTGGTAGATTTGGAATCCATTTGACCTTCCAACTTGGCACTAGAAGCTTCTGAAAATGGCTTAACGACTCAATCTGGGCTTTATTTGACTTAGATTAGACCAATTTTGGTGTTCCCATTCTTCTCGTCGAGCCGATCATTTGCTAAAATTAGAGTCCTGGATGCTTTTTAATTGAAGTGTGAACATTCCTTGTTAAAAAAATTATATTGAGTCATATCATGTCTAGAGATCTGTGCTGGATGATAATTTTTTTTTTATGGTCTATCAATACTACAACTTCTTGAAAGCAGCAAAACAACAATATGCAGTAGCAATTTGAAAAACAAAATAATAAAAAAACTGAAGCAAACAACAGATCCTTAGCTTATCCTTCAGGAAACTTGATCATGGTTTTCTATATTATTTTCTAAGTTTGATAATGTGAAAAAGAGAGTAAAGATTGCATGGCAAAGGCTGGCTCTTATTGATCTTTCACATAATGTTCCTTCAATCTGCACTTTGGGGAGGATTTAGGGATTACGATCCAACTACCAAACTGAGTAAAGTGCCAAAATAATCTCCTGATTATTTACATTGGGTCATTTTAATTTCATAGTTTATAAAATTACTATATTAGTCCACGAAACATTTTAATGAGGGCTAAAATAATCCTCTTTGGAACTATTTCAATCTAATACTAAAAGAACGTAGGAATTAAATTGACATTTTTATAAACTCGGGACTAACACGACCCCTTGAAAAGGAGACCGAGATCATTTTGACACATCTCTCCTCCAAAATTATAAATAAATAAACTCTCCCGACTATTTTTCACATCATCTTTCAGCTTATTTCTCCGATTCTTACTCCGATTACTGTTTTATAGGCTGAGAGAGCTCCACACACTAAAAGGCCACGTGGAATCTGTCGTGCGTCTCAAAGGCTTGGACATAGACACCATCAAGCAAGCCTATACCGTCTGAGCAGACATCAGTCATCATCCATCCCCAACCGTAGACATCAACTGTTGCTGGTGCTGCAAAATCCAAGATGTTCCCTATTCTCTATATAAGTACTGTATATGCGCTGTAAGGTTTGTGATATCGGTATGTTTCAATCTCTGTTGCATTACTAACGGGGCCTTAAAAATGAAGTTTCTTAGGCATAAACTTGCCATCTGAGGCCTAATCAAGGTTGTATTAATAGTCATCTGGATTAAATTCTTATGGAAACATATTTAATTCTAAATTTGCATGCATGGGAGTTAGACGTTCTCATATATCTGAGTGCAGAAAAAAGTTATCTGTGTTCGGCTCGTTTGCTCAGCGACTGAATCGAACACGAGTTATTGAATGAGCTGAACACGAAGTTGTTCTCAAATAATGAGATGATGCGGACTTTAAGAAGCTTTTGAGTTATAATTTCAGTGTCTTGGAAAAGATTCCGTTTTAAAACACAATGTTCGGGCATGGCCTTTATTTTTGTTTTCAAATTTATTTGGTGAAAGCTTTTTTATTTTAAGTGGGCAAGGTATATTGATTTTCCTTGTCAAATAAGTATTTTAATTCGCGTATTATGCACTTCTCAAAATATTTTAGCTTCTTCCTAAAGTATGAACATTGAATTTTAATTTTTTTTCTAAATAATTGAAATAAAAATTTTAAATTTGAAATTAAATAATTAATGAACTTAAAAAATGAATAGTTTTTTGTTTAATGCGTATTATTGATAGAGTTTTGATTAAAAATGAGTCTGTTTTATACTTTTTTTATGTTTATACCTTGTTATGTGTGAATTAATTATGAATTTATTCCCTTATAATGCACTATTTAAATGAGTGAGAATAATAAACTGAATCGCTTTAGTTTAATATAGTTATATACTTATGTGGCACATAATTTTTTTTAATTGATATAATTAT